CCCCACAGATCTCTTTCCATGGGGATGCTCTCCAGCCTCCTGTTCCCCAGTCTGTAACATACATCCAGGGTTGCACCGTCCCAGGTGCAGAATCTGGCACTTGTCCTTGTTAAACTTCATATAGTTGGTGATTGCCCAGCCTTCTAATTTGTTGAGGTCTCTCTGCAGGGCCTCTCTGCCTTCAAGGGAGTCAACAGACTTAGTATGGCTTTGAGTCCTGCATCCAAATTGTTTATGAAGATGGTGAAGAGAACTGGTCCTAAAATGGAGGCCTGAGCTTTAAGATGGAGTTTTACTGAAATCCAAAAAGATTACATCAACTGGCTTCCCTTGATCAACTAGGTGGGTTACTTTGTCATAAAAGGAAATTAAATTTGTCAAGCAGGACTTTCCCCTTATGAAGCCAGGTTGGCTGTGACCAATGACTGCATTGTCCTTCAGGTGTTTTTCAGTACCTCCCAGGATAGTCTTCTTCATAATTTTACCAATCACTGAAGTGAGACTGACAGGCCTGTAGTTTCCAGGGTCATCCCTCTTGTCCTTCTAGAAAATTGTGACAATGTTAGCCAGTGTCCAGTCAACTGGGACCTCTCCAGGTTCCCAAGACCATTCAAAAATCATTGAGAGAGACCTTGCAATGACATCAGCCAGTTCTTAGAGTACTTTTGTATGAATTCCATCATGTCTCATAGACTTATAGGGATCCCGGTGGAGCAGTAAATCCTGCACAAGTTCAGGGATGACTGTGAGTTTATCATTGTCACAGTCATGGTCCTCCAGCTCAGGGTTCTGTGGGTCCCAGAGCCCATCATTGGTATTGAATTCTGAGGCAAAGAAAACATTAAACATCTCTGCTTTGTCTATGTGCCTGTTTGTGAAGTGACTGACCTCATCAAGCTACAGACCAATGTTATCTCTGATTCTCTTTTTGCTGTTAACATATTAAAAAAAGCCCTTTTTGCTGTCCTTCACAATGCTGGCCAGCTTGAACTCTAATGGAGTTTTGGTTGCACAAATTTTCCCCTACAGCAGCAAGCAGCATCTCTGTAGTCCTCCCATGTCACCTCACCTTGTTTCCAATGTCCATACACTTTCTTTTTTTGCCTTAACTCCAAAAGAAGATCACTGCTCAGTCAAACCAGCCTTCTGCCTTGCCTGCTTGACTTCCGACATTTGGGAATTGCCTGCTCCTGTGCTCTTAGGAGGTGGTGCTTAAAAAGTGACCAGCATTGATGGATTCCAGCACCTTCAAAAGCATTTTCACAGGGAAATTTACTCACTAGTTCCCTGAGCAGCCTGAAGTCTGCTCTCCTCATGTCCAGAGTTGAGGTTTTGCTGGTACTTTCCCTCCTGTCAATGGAGATTTTAAACTCAATTGCCTCATGGTCACTCTGGCCAAGATGGTCACCAATCTCCACTTCACTCACAAGACCCTCTCTGTTAACAAGCAACAAATCAAGAAGGGCATCTTTCCTAGTCAGCTCATTTAGTACCTGTACCATGAATTTATCATCCAGGTGTTTTAGGAATCTCCTGGACATGTTTGTACCAGCTGTGTGGTGTTCCCAGTTAATATCTGGCAGGTTGAAGACCCCCATAAAGACAAGGGTGGTTGATTTAGAGGTGTCCCTTAGTTCCTTGAAGTCATCATCCTTGCTGGGTAGCCTATAGTAGACCCTCACGCTTTATTTGTTTGTCCCTTAATCCTTACCCAGAGCCTCTCAACTGCACCATTGCCAACTGTAAGCTCCATACATTCCAGTCCCTGCATTACATACAATGCTATCCCCCCACCTCACTTGCCCTGCCTATCCCTCCTGAAGAGTCTATAACCATCCACATATATTAAATCTAAGCACTGAATTAATGCTAGAAAGACATTTCTAGATTGCCTACTTCTGTTTGGCCTTAAATATTTACAACAGTAAATCAAGAATAAAAAAAAGAATTTATACCTGCTAATATTAGAATAAAATAGGTTTTCCTGCCGTTTTCTCTTGCACATATGTTGTAAAACGCTTTAAGAATTTTGGATATTCTCGTTTTGCCACTGCCCGTAACACTGATGCTGGTGCCCATCCTCCTGGGTTCACTATGAGTAGACAGGAAACCAGACATTGAAATACAACAAATCTTCTAAAAGTTAAAAAAGAAAATTTAACTTTGCATTCCTGCAATTCTTTCTGAAGTAACAGAAAAGAATATTCAGCAGAATTTACACCCTTAAATCTTGTCTTGCAGCACTTTCTACTCTAATTCAGTTCAGTTTTACAATGTTACTATTTAGAAAACATTAAACATGATGTGTTATGTTTTGGGATTGCCCAAATGAAAGACTATATTCTTCAAGTACTTCCCAAAAACAACAGAGAGACTCAAGCTACTTCTAATTTCAAAGAAAATAGAACTCAAGTCTTAACTTTTCAATAATTGCTGCATTTGCCTGCAGAATTGCTACATAGTCAGTCTTACAAATTATTTTTAAAGCACTTCAAACAAAATTTGATCTGATTATAAAATATGCTTAAAGTCACAGGTCAAGTACTTTGCTGAAAAAGATGCCACTTCCCATATAATCACAGCTCAGAATTTGTCAATGAAAATATATTTTTTAAATAATTATGAAACTTCTGAACAGGAAAAAAGGAACTTACCCCAGAGTTTAACATCATACAGTATTATTTGTAAAGGTTTTAATACAAGTTGTATCACTCCTATATGGCAAAGATTTACTGAACCCAATTTTCAGACTGTGATTACTTAGTAAGCCATGTAATAGGTGGTCAAAAATAATAAGCAGGTGAGATACTCAAGGTGTTTTGCAGCTGCAGCAGAGGAGATAACAGGTATGAGGTTCCAATACTATAATACACTGCTTAATATTGGGTACAGTCATTAATTCGAGTCCTTGACCATAAAGACCACAAGTGTGATCCTATATATAAATTTAACAGAAAACTGCATCAATCTTTTTTTTTCCAGTATTCAGCTCCCCAGAAATAGCATATATTAATATATTAATGTTGTACTGAAAAATTTTAGACTTACCATTAGCTACATATGTAATCTTGCATAGGATATTGTCCCTGCCTATTTCCTTGTTCCCCTCTGGTGGGCTTACTAAAGTCTGACAAATCATAGCAATATTTATTTTGGCACGGACACAACGATTGGTCAGCTGTCAAAAAAAAAAAAAAAAAGCAACATTCGTAAACTTCAAGTTAGGTGTATTTCGGCATACTTGACTTCTAATATTTTAATTTAGTATAAAGTCTAAGACACTCCAAAAAGTTATGTTTCAGTTATACAAGCCTACCCCCATGTCTGACAATACTGAGGAGTTATTTATTTGATTCTATATGAAGGAACCTCAATTCTTTAAAATGTTTTCACCAGAAATTTTGCTTCCATTTTTATGCAACACCTTAGATCTGCCAACTGTTGAGATAAGGTAACAAAGTTTTTGGCTCAAAATGCCTTCATCAGGTCATTGTATCATCTGGTATAAACAAACTGTATTTTTGCATATCACCCCCTTCTCCCCCCTTCCCCCCAGTATTGCAAGAGCATCACACCACATAATAGAAAAATGGTATCTTTAAAACAGACCTTGATATAATGAAAATAATACTTACAGGAGCACTGTCATGTTCCACAGAGAAATTGCAAACAATCCATGTTTCAGGATCATTTTCACTGAATGCTGGTATCTTTCTGATGGCAGACAAATACAGTACATCCCTTTGAGAAGCTGGCCACACTCTCTGCAGAGAGACACCTGAATATAAGTTTTTCCAGTTTTGTAAATTAAATACTTACTATCTTTAGACAAAGGAAAACAACAAACAGGTCAGTCATGTTATTAAAGTAAAAAAGTTTATTCAAGTTAGTAATTTCATGCAATTTTCAAAACTGAAACAAAACACAAGTGTTGTACAGATGTGTATCAGGTTATATGGCTATACTTAGTTTTTAAAAGTTAAGGCAAAAGTTTAAGGCCTTTGAAAGGTAGGGACCAAGTTGCAATGACTTTTTCAGTATGTGGTAGTTTTAATCTAGGCCTTCCTTGGTGACCAGTTTGTAACCAAGGAAGTGGCCATGTACCCAGGATTCCATACGATTTTTACATAAACCAGGGTATAAATAAGAAGGGAGGAGAGGTCTTCGGTCTCTTCTCTTCTGGCAAGGTTCGGGAACAGTGGGTCCTTGCGTTGGTCTCGCTTATCTAAGGCTGAGGTCTGCAGTGTCCACTGACCTGCCACGTGGAGGTTTGGAGAGTGCTGGTCGTGTCTGCCAATCCTGCTTTTCTAAGGGACGTGGTGAGATTTATTTTGCTAGTTATTAGTATAGTTCTCGGGTTTGATTGTGGATATCTATTCAGTGTTCCTTTTTGTCCCTTTTGGTCCCTTTTTCCCCTTTCCCTTTGGGGGGTGTTTGAATTCCCTTCGCTGTGTACATAGTATTTTAATTGTATATAACTGTAGTATACATAATATATATATTTTTATATAACTAGTTTGATTTCGGGTTCTTCAATTTGCATAGTTTTTTTCCTTTGCCCTGGGGGAAGAAGGGAGGGGGAAGGGGGTTGCTACTGTGAGTTCGAGCATTTGGCAGGGAGTCAGGTCCGAACCATCACACAGTAGACAACCAGGAAGAGTCACTTCCCCTCCTCTCAATCTCAGGTTTACACTTTAATAAATACTTTTACGCTACAAACTAAAGTAGTGGTTAAGTATAAATAGATGCATCTACAGTTATTTATGTCTCCATAAATATGGTGAGAGTGCAAGAAATATTTATAACAAATATTATTTCAAAAAGTTACTATTTTAGTGAGACAGAAGCCATTTACCTGACACTCAGTAGGGGTAAAAAGCCTAGTTTTTACCAGGTGTGGTGGTTTTAATCTAGGCCTTCCCTGGTGACCAGTTTGTAACCAAGGAAGCGGCAGTCTTCCCAGTATTCCATACGATTTTTACGTAAATTGGGGTATAAATAAGAAGGGAGGAGAGGCCTTCGCTCTCTTCTCTTCCAGTGAGGTTTGGGAACAGTGGGTCCTTGCATTGGTCTCGCTTATCAAAGGCTGAGGTCTGCAGCGACTGCTGGCCTGACACGTGGAGGATTGGAGAGTGCTGGTCGTGTCTGCCAATCCTGTTTTTCTAAGGGACATGGTGAGATTTGTTTTACTAGTTATTTTACTAGTTCTTGGGTTTGATTGCGCATATCTATTTGGTGTCCCTTTTTGTTCCCTTTTGCCCCTTTTTTCCCCTTTCCCTATCCCTTCGGGGGGGTATTTGGATTCCCTTTTACTGTCTACATAGCATCTTAACTGTATATAACTGTAATATACATAAAATATATATTGTTATATAACTAACTTGATTTCAGGTTCTTCAGTTTTGCATAGTTCTTTGCCCTGGGGGAAGAAGGGGTGGGAATTGCTGCTGAGGGTTTGAGTATTGCAGATAGCCAGGTCCGAACCATCACACCAGGACACAACACTCTGTGACTTTACAGTTCATACAACTGCCTTATTCAAAAATCAAATTCTGCTGTTACAGCAGTTTTAAGGTAACCACATTACCAGTAGAAAAAAAATAGAAAATTTTAATATTTGAGTATACTAATACTTGTAATCATGCAAGATTAAAGATGAATGTGTACACCTAATTTTTAATTTTTTAGAACCTGTTAGGTTACAGTTATTTGGTTATAAGTCAAATGAACATTTTAGTAAAGCTACATCATAACTGGTTGGGGTAAAAAACCATAATGAAGTTAAAAGAACAAATGTTGTACCAGGACACCTCATAATGCAAATGCAGATGTCAACTAATCATGGTCAACAATAGCTTGCATTATTGCAACAAAACATATGATACAGGGGTATGGGTTTCTTCCTTGTAGTCAGTGTCAATTTATTGCTTCAGTTTTCTTGAGATGATCCTTGTGTTGCTGCCAGTGATATACTTAAGAGATTAAAAACAGTCCTCATTTGTTATTACAAGCTCTATCAGATACATATACAACCAATTATGCTATCAAACCAAGTTTGAAAAATTTACAAAGTTGCAGTTTAATAGAGAACTTGTTCTGAACTGTTGTTCTGGATAAGATTTTAAGTTGTTAAGATGTTAAAGTATTTCAGAATAGATTAGAACACATATGCCCCAGACTGTCGCACTAGGGTACGTATAGAGGTGGAATGTTATTACCTTATGCATTTGGTAAACGATGATGGCATTATCAGCTAAATTTTCCACAACATGGAAATTTTCAATTGTTGCTAAAGGGGAACGGAAATAAAAATGCATCAGTAAACAAGCACAAATATTAGGTCAGTGCTATAAACTGCATGATTACTGATAAACATGCAAAGCTTAAGAAATTATTCCTTACTTTCCCAGTCATTACGAACATCGACATTCCAGAAGTAGTGGCAAACTTCATGTCCTGTTACCCCTTTAACGGCATGCGTTGCTTTCAAAGGATCTAAAACTATTCCATTCTCTTCCACCTCTCTTCTGTACACCTATGGTCAAATACAAAGAAAGAAATGCAGAAAAATTGTCAAAACTGTTCATGTCTTAATTATTTAAAATTCCACCAGCTTTGATAAAAACTGTCATAGGTTTAAAAAGAGATGTTGGAATTTTTTTCTTTCCCTAGGGTCCTGTCCCCGTCTGTCCCCCATCTGTTTCTTCTGGGATGTGGGGAGTCAGGGATGGGGGGAGACAGGGAGGGGGTGGGGATGGAGCAGAGCTGCACATGCTGGGCAGCGCAGGAGCGGGGAGGGGGGAGGTCTCCCGGGGAAGAGCAGTTGCTGCAGGGACAGCTGGGGAAGTCCTTTGTTTGGGGGTTTTTGGGTTTGGTCCGCCGACCAGACAGAGTTGGAGCCCGGGTTCGGCCACCTCCTTTTCTTTTCCTGAGATGAAGGGGTTTTTTTCCCCACGGGACACTTCGTGAAGGACGACTGAGAGAGAGAGATCAACCCATCTCAGAGGTATTCTGCCTTCAGACTGCCTGTGGGAAAAAGGACTTTTTTTTCAGTGCTGTCTGCGAGCACACGTGGCTACGAGCAGTTGTTGAACTGCTGGGACAGTCCTGCCTCTCCCCCTACCCAGGTTGCCACGGGTTTCTCCCCCCCCACCTGGGGAATTGGGACTTTGTTTTGTTTCTTCTGAAAGTTTTTGATTGCACCATTTGTTGTTTATTCAGATTTTGTTAATAAAAACTGTTTCTTTTCCACACTTCCACCTGAAGTTTCTTCATTTCTAAGTTGTAATCTTGTTAAACTAAGACAAAAACTTACCCAGAAGACTAACAAATTACTAATTTACCATGTCAGTGTTCTCTGGTAACTACCAATGCAGATGTTCTTGCATGGCACTTCGCATGAAAATACCAGTACTTTGAAAATTTCTACTCCAAAAATGATTCAGAGAATCAGAATATCATGAGTTGGAAGAGACCCACAAGGATCATTGAAGTCCAATTCCTGGCCCTGCATAGGACAACTCCAAGAATCACACCATGTGTCTGACAGTGTTGTCCAAACTCTTCTTGAACTCTGTCAGGCTTGGTGCTGTGACCACTGCCCTGGGGAGCCTGTTCCATTGTTCAACACCCTCTGAGTGAAGAACCTTTCCCAACTATCCAACCTACACATTCCCTGACAGAGTTTCATGCCATTCCCTCAAGTCCTAACACTGGTCACCAGGGAGATTGGTGCCTGCCCCTCTGCTTCCCCTCTTGAGGAAGTTGTAGACTGAATGAGGTCTCCCCTCAGTCTCCTCCAAGTGAAACGAGAGTAAGGCCTAAAAGAGTTAACTGAGATATCTTGCTCTGTTGAGAAAAGACCCCCCTCCCCCCGATACCCACTCTGCTTGTACTGCTAAGAAAAACTTGTTCTGTTCTGCTTACTGGACTTAAACCTAAGAAGAATACCAGAAATGCTGTACAGTCAACCTAGAGGCCATAAATTAAGCTAAGGTAGACGTTTGGATAGGAGAAATAGGCCTGGAGCCAAAGTTTTTTCCAAGCATCAGTGAACGGGTCAAGAACAATAGAAAGATAGAAAGGTCAAAGCAAGGAAGAAGAGAAATAGACCCCCCATTTGAGGAGGAAGGCCGGAACGACCACTACCAAGAGAAGACTCTGGAAAGCACCACCCTAATTTCTGCCCAAACTCTGCCTATTATCACTATGCATGATTAGATGTTGTAATCACATGAATATGTATGTTAAGATGTTGTAATCGTGGAATTAGACTGCATAAATTACCCTGTTTTGCATCGATGCCTTTGAGCAAGTTTGTCCAGCACAAGCTGGCTTGCTCCCAACGTTGTCTAAATAAATACCTTGCTGCCTAAAGAAAAAAAAGTCTCTGAGCAGTTTACATTCCAAGCTTTTTCAGCATCACAGGTTGAACAAACCAAGTGACCTCAGTCACTCCTCATATGGCTTCCCCTCTAGGTCCTCCACCATCTTTGTAGCCCTCCTTTGGACACTTTCAGATAGCTTTATATCTTTCTTATATCGTGGTGCCCAAAACTGCACACAGGAGGTGAGGCTGCACCACTGCAGAGTAGAGCGGGACAATCACCTCCCCTGATCAGCTGGTGATACTTTTCCTGATGCACCCCAGGACACAGTTGGCCAACCTGGCTGCCAGGGCACTGCTGACTCATATTCAAGTTGCCATCGACCAGGACCCCCAGGTACCTTTCTGTGGCACTGCTCTCCGACCTCTCATTCCTCAGTCTGTACATACACCCAGGGTTGCTCCGTCCCAGGTGCAGAATCTGGCACTTGCCCTTGTTAAACTTCATACAGTTGGTGATTGCCCAGCCCTCTAATTTGTCGAAGTGTCTCTGCAGGGCCTCCCTTGCCTTCAAGAGAGTGAACAGCTCTTCCCAATTTAGTGTTGTTGGTAAACTTAGTATTCCTTTGAGTCCTGCACCCAAGTCATTTCTGAAGATGTTGAAGAGAACTGGGCCAAAGATGGAGCCCTGTGGAACCCCACTAGTGACAGGTCACCAGTCTGATTTTACTCTGTTCACTATTATCCTTTGTGAATGACCCATCAGCCAGTTCTTCACCCACCACATGATGTGTTTATTCAGCTGTGTGCTGAACATTTTGTCCAGAAGGATCTTGTAAGAGACAGTATCAAAAGCTTTACTGAAATCCAAAAAGATTACATCAACTAGATTCCCTTGGTCAACTAGGTGGGTTACATTGTCATAAAAGGAAATTAAGTCTGTCATGCAGGACTCTCCCCTCATGAAGCCAAGCTGACTGTGACCAATGACTGCCCTGTCCTTCAGGTGTTTTTCAGTACCTCCCAGGATAGTCTTCTTCATAATTTTACCAGTCACTGAAGTGAGACTGACAGGTCTGTAGTTTCCAGGGTCATCCCTCTTGTCTTTCTTGAAAACTGGGACAAGGTTAGTCAGTGTCCAGTCAACTGGGACCTCTCCAGATTCCCAAGACCATTCAAAAATCACTGAGAGAGGCCTTGTAATAACATCATCCAGCTCTTCGAGCATTCTTGGATGAATCTCATCAGGCCCCATAGAGTTATACGGATTCAGCTGGAGCAGTAGATTCTCCACAAGTTCAGGATCAACTGTGAGTTTATCATTGTCACCGTCATGGTCCTACAGTTCAGGGCAGGGGGACCCCCTTAGCCCATCATTGTTGTTGAAGACAGAGACAAAGAAAGCATTAAACATCTCTGCCTTGTCTTTGTCCCTGTTTGTGAGCCTAAAACACTGACAGAAGCAGAGCGTGCTCTGTCATTGCCTGCTGTTTGCCTTTGTTAGAACTGCAAGAAGAGAATTTTTTTGGTTGTTCAAATAACTGTGAGTTGGGGGACAGCAGCACCTGCATGCAGTAGTGAGAATGGGTTAGTATTAAACGTGTCGTTGCAACGTTGTTACCACGCACCATAAGGCACGCCACCTCCGACCCTAAATAAACAAGTGCCTAAGACATGCCCGGTGAAGAGATCGAAGACACGTCACGGGATCGGAGAGGGGGAAGGTGTGTGTGTGGGGGGGCGCCGCGCAGAAGATCGAAGGCACGAAAACCTGCCTCCCACACTCGCCGCGGGGATACACCGCAGTCGCCACACTCGCAGAGCAGCTGCGGGACTTCCTCCCACATTCCGGAGATGGTAAACATGTTGAGTTGGGAAGAGGTCGGAGCTGTGCCGCACAGACTAAGGAGGGAAACCCTGCCCCCCCCGCCCCTTTCCCCTCCGCGGGCATGCACATGCCGCTGCCCACACACGAGCCGCGCCCCGGCACTACCCGATCAGCACCGTGACCAGCCTGGTCGGACCCAGGGCCTACACACGCTTCCGGAACTCTACTTACACCGCAGAGACAAAAGACCTGAGAACGACCGGACAGAGACCCCCCCCCCATCACCAAGGATGAGATCCAGCCCAGAGTTCATGGTGGTGGTAATCTCTTTCCTGTGCTTCTTGTAATTATTCTTAGCTTTCCCCACTTTGATCTATTTTTCTTTCTTTCTCTCTCTACCTTTTTTTATAGTTAATAAAGTTGAACTATCATTTTGGATACCAACATTTGACCTCGTTTGTGTCTTAATCTCGCTTTCCTCCCTGCATTTATGGATAAAGGCACACTTTGCCTCTCTATACCTAAGTGGGTTGGAACAGTGAGGTGACCGTCCTCATCCTGTAACAGACCGATGTTATTTCTGCATTACCTTTTGCTATTACTGCATTTTAAAAAGGTCTCTTTATTGTTCCCCACATTTCTGACCAGATTCTACTCCAGTTGAGCTTTCACCGCACAAATTTTCTCCATACAGTGGCAAGCAGTATAGCATCTCTGTAGTCCTCCCATGTCACCTGACCTTGCTTCCAATGTCCATACACCTTTTTTACCTTAGCTCCAAGTCTTCTGGACCTGTTTGTACCAGTTGTGTGGTTAACATCTGGCAAGTTAAAGTCTCCCATAAGGACAAGGGCAGTTGATTTGGAAGTGTCCCTTAGTTCTTTGAAGAATAATTTATGGGCATCATCATCCTGGTTAGGTGGTCTATAGTAGACTCCCACAATGACACCCGTGTTATTTGTTTGTCCCTTAATCCTTACCCAGAGGCTCTCAACTGTTCCATTGCCAACTGTAAGCTCCATACATTCCAGTCCCATCCATTATATATAATGCCATCCCCCCCCACCTCACCTGCCCTGCCTATCCCTCCTGAGTTAAGCTACCTTATTTATCACTATGCACAAGAATTCGTACAAGCACAGTGGAGTAGCCGACAGTAACTTACTACCATATAACATTTTCATACATTGAATTTACACACCATGTTGATACAAAGCTTTAAGTAGAAAATGAGAAAGGAATCAATAAAGACAAAGCTATTGCAAGTATTGCATAAGATTTTGCTGAATATATATATTAGAAGTTGTAGCTCTTGTGATGTCCAGTCCTAATTAAAACAATGCTATTCTCAGAGAGAAGTTTTAACAGCATAACTTACTTAGTAATAGTATTCAAAGAGAATAAAAATATCTGTCTTCACAGTATATCGTCTTAAATAAGCATAAAACCAAATGCTTACCTTCATTTCTCCTTCTTCTACCACTAGTTGCCAATTGGCATCTCCTCCTACATCTTGCAAGGAATATGTCATATGGTTTTGTACCATTTCTTCCACCTTTAAAGGAAAAAAATACGCATTTTTAAATCATTCCTTTCATCTTCTTGGGCAGGGGACTGTACAGTATTGGAAGCCATAAGTCAATACTTCAAATCCTGTGCAGGAGCTGAACATGGACAACAGAGCCTTCTATTACAGGTTAAGATCAAACAAATACTTCTGGCCTTCAGAAGCAAAAGCCAAAATCTTGATTCGACTTCCAACTTCATTGTTTACGGGTACTTCCCTGTCCTTCCTTTGCACCTTTAAACTGTCAAAACTCACAATTTCTACCTAAGACAGTTTTATTTCAGCATATAGGAAATTACTTCCAGTATATTCAAATAGAATTACAATGCATTGTAAGACTTGAAAGCCAGTATTCAAAAAGTTGATGGAGAGATGACAAACAAGATCTAAAAAGGTGAATGCATATCAAAAGTTATATTGAAACAACAGTGAAGGAAACAGTCATGAGAAAAGCATGCTTATTCTGTTTCATTGGCATCTTTGTACAGTTGCCAGTTAGAAAAACAGAACAGAAATGCTTACATTCAAAAATATTATGATGATGCAGAGACTCCACTATTATTAAATATGCATTTAAAAATTACTTAGCAAGACAGTTGCATGCTTTTCTTAAAGGTCAAATATTTGATACATTTTTTTCAAGCTATGTGAATACCTTTTTTTGTTCCAAACAATGTGCATGAAAATGGAGAGTGGGACAAGAAATGAATTTTTATTTTAAATCTACAGTCTTATTATATGGTTCTTTTGTGTCTGTCTCCCCCATTTCCAAATCCTATTCTCCCCTAAATAAAAACAGAGACAAAAATATAAACTATCCATTGCTGTGTAATGTTTACAAGTGCTGAAAACAATTTAATAACTTTTTCCACCTAAAAGGTAGGTGACTACTAAAACTCATCACAGCAAATGTCTATGTAATTGATACTATTTTCCTGAATCACTAGAAATATCTTTTTTAAAAAGGAAAAGCATTGCAAGTACAAGTTTGTCAATTGACCAACATACAGATTAGTCTAAGATGTGTATAGTCCCAAGATTAATAGCCTGAACCTATGTGGTTTTTGTACAACTGGAAGAAAAAAAAAAGAATCAAGTCAAAATCCTCAAAGTACAACATACAAATAAAATTCTTTTGAGAGAAATGCTACTTTATCTTATTTTAACTATAGAATTCTCTACAGAAACCAAGTTAACAGTTCAGTTTTGGGGGTTTTCTTTGTTTTCTTTAATTTCTTTTTTAGTTATAATGAACTATAAACATCTATAACATTTGTGTTTCTGCTTTTAGAAAGACCATCTTTTCCTGCCACTTACAGGTTTCCTACCAAATATTCTTCCAATTATTTTTTTTCCCGTGATACGACACAGTACAATCTGATAAAGGATGATCAAAATACAAAGCAATAATACAAGTTGCTTACTAGCTAATTTTTAGATAGAACTAGGATAGAGCCTTGCTTACTGATGCTAACTCACAGACAGGATATAGGTAATTTTATAATGAAGACTTTAGCAGGAACAGAAAACCTTAGAGTTTAGATAAGGGGCTTTGAAGCTCATGAGAAAGAGACCTTGAAGGTTGATAAAGAGAAACTCCTGAAGAAGATACCAGTTTTGAGTTAATTGGACAGTGCCAACTCAGCAGTTCTTAGCAAAGGTAAAAAGTTCAAGGTGAGGAAGACTTCTTACTTCATCCAAAAGACCCCCAAAGACCCCCAAAAGAAAACCCCAAGGGGGCAATCCAAGGTAGAGTTATAGGAGTGGTGTATGTTAATGATTTCCCCTCCCACTTTTCTGGAATTTGTTGACAGCTAATGCATATGTAACACAACTAATGTATATGTAATACAACTAATGTATATGTAACAGGATACTGCATAAAAGGAGTTGAACAAAGGCAATGGGTGTGCGTGATTGGAGGAATTATCCCCTATGCACCTGGTGCCATGAATAAACATACCTGCTTCAATACTCTTTGCGAGTTTTGGGTTTTGTTTCCGCAAGTCAAATCCAAGCCAGGTAAGAATGTGGGCTATTTAAATATTCAATTTACTAGCTCTAGGTCACACGTCTTTCGGAAAGGAATCCTCCCTATGCTCCCAACTTTACCTTTATTTCCTCCCTTAGGTCCTAATCTATTAGGGACGAAGCTGGCTTGTATGTGTTTGTTTTGTATTTTGTTGCTTTTTACTTTATGCTAAATGCAGAGGGAGGAGGATAATAGCAAAGAAAGAAGAGAATGAGGCATCGACAGGAGTATCAGAGAATCATAGAATATCCTGAGTTGGACGGAACTCACAAGGATCATTGAGTCCAACTCCTGGTCCTGCACAGGACAACCCCAAGAATCATACCATGTGCCTGAGATTACAATCTAAATAGTTTAGGGCCTTTGGAATTGTTCAGCATTTAGCCCCCTGACTTCCTCTGAAAACGTGAAAGGCATTTTTAGTTTTTCTCTCCCTGTCTCTCCCAATAAAGTTTCATTCTTGCTAATACATCTTTCAGACAGCTTCCCCTTAGGTTTGGGAAAGGAGAGGTATTATCATTGCAGCTTTCGGAGGAGAGTGAATGTTGTTTTTTGTTAATAAGCAATTACTTCTATTTGACCAAGCAATTGCAGTGCCTACAACTGCTTTATGCATACTACCTGTCCAAACTGTGATCTATCTGCTGGTCACTGTCAGCCTGCACCTATTTCAGGTACCACATTAGGCACAGAGTCAAGATTTACAGCTTCTTTCACAGTGGGATGGCCACACTATTACCTCTGGGTTCCTGGTAGACTACAGAAATGGTCTGCAAAAGTACCTCTATCCCATGCAGTCTTGGTCTGAACATTAAATGGGCATTCTTCATTTAAAAGGCCCTCAGAATGTCTCAATCTATTTTAAAGTCTGATAGTCCTTTGAAAGGAGAAAGTGATCTGCAATACATTTGCAGCATTTTAGGCCCACAACCTCCTACTCAACTGGCAGAGACAAATCAATGCCTTTCTGAAAGCACACTGAAGGACCAGCTCCTGTCAGAATATGTTCATGCTTCTCAATCTTAAAAACAAAGCTGTAAGTTTCTACTTGACCTTTTACTAAGATTTCCTTCATATAAATGAAGTCTAGAAGCAAGTCTTGTTTGTTCAGAATCAAGATTTAGCTTGCCTTTCCAAAAGCCAAATCCTCAGCCTGGGGACAGAAGACAATTTCCTAATAATAAGGTCTACAGCAGGTTGTCATCAAAAGGTGTGCTGCTTTTCTCTTCATGCTCTCAGTTGTCTTTTACCTGCTTGTTAGCTATCAATGAAGCTCCAGAGCAGGTGGAGCAACTTACTGAACTGGCAAGTTTGCTCTAGGGAAGATATGGGGAAAGAAGGGGGCAGAGGGGAGTAGGTTTCTTGTAAGTTATCAGGATCATTCTTTCTGTAGTGAGTCAGTTAACTTGAAATCACATTCTAAGACACTGTGTAGTAGTTTTTACATAGTATAATCCCTGCAACTGCTGGAAAGAGCAACACCTTGACCCCATAATCCAGTCCATTTAACCCTGAACTTTAATGTCAATTTGCATTATTGTGATAAGGACCTGGTCAACCTCAGACTTGTTTTTAAGTGATTAGGTTTTCAGCCACACTAGTGGTCTGATACTCAGGTTTACCATATGGGTCCACAAATGTTATCCCAGGCATAAGAGATGAAAATGAAAAGGTTCAAGTATTTTAATGACTATGCGTTTCCCTTACATTGAACTGGCAATGTAGCCTGATAGACAACCAATTCTATCTTTAGAATCAAACTTGCTTTCTATTACTTGATTTCCCTCCTCCTCCCAAACAAAACCAAACTTGAATTACTAATGTGACTACTGGAGTACCAGTAGATCAGACTATCAATGTTGTGCAATATGACTCACAAGTCCTTAAGTGTTAGGGTTCTGCTCACAAAGCTGGTGGCAAGGTATGCAGGTAGTATGATACCAGGTTCTATTAATCAAAAGAAAATCCATTCCTTCTATTTGAAAAAGCAGTCTGTTTGCAGTGTTAGTTAATAATTTAAAACCAAACAAACCTCAAAACAACAGATCCCAGAAGGAAGACCCATATTCACAATCATATGGACCACAGTAGAAGGAAAGTAATGGCATGAATGCTATGTCTGAATTATTCTTTTTTTTGAGAATAAAGACAAAACACATGAACTTACTTATGTAATTCAACTCTAAACTGTGATCTTCAGAACAAGCAGCTAGAGTAATTTTGTACATTACTCGAATATGTCACTACAACTAAATTCACTTATTCAGGATGTCAGACATTTTCTGAAGGATAATTGAATATATTGGAATTCTTCAGTAAAAGTTCTCATATCCACAATCTCATTTTTTTAACAACATACTTTATGACCTTTTGGTAATAAAACTAGTTGTAGAGATAAATAATTATAATAGAGAACCTAAAAATTTGGTATCTTAAAGTTATTACAAGTGACAACAAATTTTAAAGACAAAATTAAACCTTTGATTTAAAACCACAAAAAACCTATTTAATTTGAAGCAAAGACCATCTCCAGCCCATGCAAAACAGATGTTATTTTATTACTTTTATTATAATCAGAAATGCAAAATTTTCAAGTTGTAGGTATTGTTATTAAAGCTACTGAAATTGATCCAACCATTTCACAAGGTTTGGGCCTCTGCACAAGTAATATGCATGCAAGCAGAATGTAAAAAGACAACCATTTAATATAGAAATAGATAACTCCTTTTCTTTGGTCCCAACATACTAGTTTAAAGCAAACAGTGATTTATATGCAACAAAAAACCCAGGTTCTAGAGAAGAGGATGAAATGCAGCAAAGATACGCAACCCCCACTCTACACATTAATACAGTACCTGGGCGCTGAATCTGTGAACATCAAAGGCACTGACTAGATCAATGGAAGACATGGAGGAAGAGCGACTATAGGGCTACCAGAGACAGACAAAGAAAAAACCAAGTAATCAGAACAAAGGCACAACAGAGCATTCAGTACCAACTTGTAAGCACAAGATAATGAAGAAAATGAAAACAAAAGCACCATAAGCAGCAAGCACAGCAGCAAATGCTGATTTCATGCACCTATTATGTATTATGCTTCCAGTGCTGCACTAAAAAAGGTATAGTGTTTCCATCAACACTAAAAAAAGTCAATTGATCCTAATGCAAGAGACTGGATTTTTTTTTCCATCAATTGTATGAATTTTGGTGAAGGTATCTTAAAAACACCGAGGTTAGCAAGTTGGGGTTTTTTTTCTTTAATATATTTTCTAACTGACCACCTTGATACAAATCAAGAATATTCTAAATAGATACTGAAATCAGGATTTTTTTAGCCAAGACAGAAAAAAGTCCTTCTCCAATTCCAACTACTTCAATTGAAAATGAGTAAACCACTGAAAGTTATACGAGAAACACCTAAAAAATAATTTTAAAAAATAAATCAGTCTTACCTATCCATATAAAATATACAAATATAGAAATTATCCAGAGGAGATAATGAGAAATATCTTACCTTTTGGACAAATCTATGAGTGCCCACAGCAGAATATGCATCTCCAGAAGGTAAGGATACTGGCCAGTATAATCTGACCTTTTCACTGTGGGACTGCAACAAAATAGGTTTAATTACTGGTAGTCAGCTGCTACTGGATGGACTATGAATGAGTGAGGCACCTTCAATCTATATAGTGGCTACAACTAGTGCTGTCCATGACAGACATGAAGTTGTCATCCTGCTGGAGTTCTCAGGAAGAAAATGGGCCTAGAGACTGAATTACCCATTCATCTATACTTCAAGGTATATTTCTATGTTAACCAAAATAGATTGGCAGCATTACATGTTGTATCCATGTAATAGTACAACAGTCACTCTAAACTTATACTTTCTGCTAAGACACCCCAACATAGATAAGCTCTGCTGGGTACTATATATCCACTAAAAAATTTTATAATTCTTAACCAAGTCAGTGTATTCATTATATTCATAAACCTAAAACCTTTTAAGACAAAGGAGGCACCACTTTGCTATTACCTCTCATTTTATACACTACTATATATTCTCATATTCTATATATTCCATCACACACATCTTATCCCTTTTTGATCCTTGTCACTGAAGTGTATTCAAGAAATGAGTTAGAGAAATAGCCAGACCCTACACAATTTTTAAACAAAACCAAGAATCAATAGAACTGTTTTTCCTATTTCACATACTGCTACAGTCAAAAGAAACTTAGGTTTTGAAAAATATCTGCAGTATTAGATATTCTTATTTGTACAGGGCATCAGTTACATGTTAACACTTATACTATCCTTTTCTATGCAAACTGTCAAGTCACTTTCTCAAAATTAGTGTTAAGCAATCATATTTAACTGTATAAATATTAAGTAGTGAATCCCACTTATAAGTGTCAGTATAAAATATCTAGTTTCAGGAGATGCACCCCAGGACTGATTAAGTCTCACAAGTCTTCCATGAAGTGCCCATCATTAACATATTTTTCAAGTATCAATACCTGTTCTTCCATTTTATCCTGTCTATCGAGAGCAGCTTCAACAGCATCAAAGAATTCTTCTTCATTAATCAGACTATTAGGCCCCTCCTAGAGCATAAGTAACAAAACTAGTTCAAAAGTTTGGAAATGAGAGCTCCACTTAAGTTCAATATTAGAAATAGCTATTTATGTATTATGCATATAACTGACAGAAGGAAATTTCTTTCATAGATCTTAAATATTTTCACCAATATTCTTATATTAGAATTCATCTGAAAACTCTATTTGTTAAATGAAGTTATTTTCTTTGACTACAATTTAGGGATAGGGATATAAACAAGCAAAAACCCCAGGAAACTGAAGACTGAGTAACAGTGTCAATATGCTTTGATATCAGAGTCAGGTCTTAATTACTATATATCTTCTCTTAAAAATGTTTACAGTATGTCAGTAAATATATTAACATAATTGTGTATTTAGATTCCTTCCAAGTATTCTAGTGCCTTAGGGTAAATTTCAGATATGTGCTCAAAGCACAACAAGACAAGACAAAATCCTGTGGATCACTACTGAAAATTCTTGGAAAGAACAGTTTAACAATAAACAGCAGGTAATTATTAAAAACTTATTTCCAGTAAGTAAAATGATAATTTAGGAAAACAAGGTTTACTGTTTTTATTGTATTGTAAAACAAACCAGTTCAGTAAATTTAAAAAATCTACTTTACAACAGGGATATCTGGGAGAAGCAACTGGGTTCATAATCAACTAGACAAAGTCCAGCTTCCTATCCATCTTTTTCTTTACAGTGCCTCAGTCACAATGGAGAACATAAGCTCATATAACCTTTTAAATATCTAAACATATTAATACTATTTCTCAGGCTATGATTTGTAAGTAGAAACCTGCTTGATTAATGTAAATGAAAGGGTCAAGTTCTTAAGTTATGCAAACTGCATTATAGGTGCATTAGTTTACATTATTTTTCAGAAGGTAGTTTAAGAACCTTAGACTTTGATTAAATAACCAAACTGAGGAGGAAGTTGATAAAACATGCAATTTAACAGATGAAGCAGAACCTAAAATCATTGAATTTATCAATACATTTCACGTGGCAGTGAAAAGTTAAAAATCAATTTAAATTAAACTTCAGATTCTAGGACTGCCTCTGCAGTCAGGGCTTTCATATTTGCATTACATATCTATACAACTGACTCATTAAAATGTAAGAGTACACAACTTGCAAATGAACAGTATAAAATGTAGAAAAAAAGAATTAAAAAGTCAGCAAAAATATCTGCAAGTAAAATACTTTAGACAAAAGCAGAATAAGGAAACCTGAGGTGAAGACAGACTTCTATTCTCAAAATAATGAATTATTTAGATTCTTCATTTAGTTTCAGTTTCCAAGGCAGAAAAACTGGTATGAACATGCTTGCACAGCCAAGACCTTGATTTACATGCACACTCCTTTGAGAAACAAACCAATCTTTAAAAGCCTTAGCATTTAAAAAAATTTCAAAAGTAGAGTTTGTACCTCATAGTCTGGCCCTCCAAAGTGGGACTTTTTCTTCAGTTCTGTCACAACTGTTTTGTATGCTTCTTCAACTCTTCTCCTTTTCTCTATCTCCTGTAAAATTACATTATCATTTGATGCAGCAAGAATGAATTGACTGATTAAGAGTCAGCATGCCAATAAATGGAATGACCAGTATAGATTTTATTCCCAAGTAACAATTGCAAAGATGCTGATTTTCTGATTTTATTTGAATGCATGCATTATATGTGCCCATATAGATGCATATATAATACAAAACTTGGGGAACTAGCTACCTTGAACATAACTTCTTTAAGTCACATGGAAGAAACTAGATCAGAAAGAAAAATCAGGTATCTAGTTTAATCATAGCTATTCATGGTTTGTTGAGGGTCAGTCCCACTTCAGTGTCTGATAAAATTATGGACAATATTCTGGGAGGTATCAAAAAACACCTGAAGGACAAAGTAGTCATTGGTCACAGCCAGCAGAGGTTCATGAGGGGAAAGTCCTGCTTGACAGACTTAATTTCCTTTTATGACAAGATCACCTATTTAGTTGATCAAGGTAAGCCAGTTGATGCAATCTTTTGGGATTTCAGTAAAGCTTTCGATACTGTCTCTCATAAGATCCTTCTGGACAAAATGTCCAGCCTGCAGCTGGATAAACACATCATGTGGTGAGTGAACAACTGGCTGACAGGTTGGGTTATACTAAATGGGGTTACATTAGGCTGTTGACCAGTCACTAGTGGGGTTCAAAAGGACTCCATTTTAGGACCAGTTCTCTTCAACATCTTCATAAATTACTTGAATGCAGGATTCAAAGGGATACTAAGTTTGCTGAAAACACTTAATTGGCTGACTCTGTTGACTCCCTTGAAGGCAGAGAGGCCCTGCAGAGAGACCTCAACAAATTAGAGGGCTGGGCAATCACCAACTGTATGAAGTTTAACAAGGGTAAGTGCCAGATTCTGCACCTGGGACGGTGCAACCCTGGATGTACACTACAGACTGGGGAACAGGAGACTGGAGAGCATCCCCATGGAAAGAGATCTGTGGGTTTGGGTTCATGGCAAGTTGAATATGAGTCAGCAGTGTGCCCTGGCAGCCAAAAGAGTCAACTGTGTCCTGGGGTGATCAAGCTCAGCATTGTGAACCAGTCGAGGGAGGTTGTAGGAGCAGCTAAACAAGACAACACCAGCCATCTGGATGACAGAAGAAGAAGAAGAAGAAGAAAATATTAAAGTAAAAATATTGTGGTCCTGAGCGAACCAGAGCTAAGATTACTGTGTGCGTGAAAAGAATAGCAAGGTCAAGCTGAAAAGCTGCTTGAAGCATGATTGTTCTTTGTGGTTGAAGGCAACCACAGGAGTATCTGTGTGGAATGTGTGCAGATAAGTAAAATCTGACCTGGTTTGATAGCTTGGATCCTTATTCTGTAGATAAATGGAGTAAGAAAGTTATAAGAGAGTTCTGCCTGGACAAAATCTATGTCCTGTGGATTCATTTGCCAAAAAAGGGTGCTGAGTGAGGGACCTTCGTCACAATTGGTGCCCCGTGTGAGCTGTTTTTCTGCACCATGGTGAACGCACGACCCGACAGGTGAGTAGACAAGAAAAAAAGACAAAGGAAAAAATAGAAAAAGAAAAAAGAAATAGAAAAAAATAATAAAAAGGAGGGAATTTTTTTGTGTGTGTGGCCACAGCTCTATCAGGATAGAGTACAGCGGCACTTGTTGAACAAGGAGTCGCTGGGTTGTGTTAGAGATGGGGAAGACTGCTTCTAATGAACATGAGTTGTATTTTCGAGTTTTACAACAGATTTTAAAATCTTCAGGATATCGTTTTAGTGACAGGAAGGTGATTTCTCTATTGTTATGGTGTGGTAGTTTTAATCTAGGTCTTCCTTGGTGACCAGTTTGTAACCAAGGAAGGGGCAGTGTTCCCAGTATTCCATACGATTTTTATGTAAATCAGGGTATAAATAAGAAGGGAATAGAGGCCTTCGGTCTCTCCTCTTCTGGTAAGGTTCAGGAACAGTGGGTCCTTGCATTGGTCTCGCTTATCTAAGGCTGAGGCCTGCAGCGTCCACTGTCCTGCCATGTGGAGGTTTGGAGAGTGCTGGCCATGTCTGCCAATCCTGCTTTTCCAAGGGATGTGGTGAGATCTGTTTTGTTAGTTATTAGTATAGTTCTTGAGTTTGATTGCGTATATCTGTTTGGTGTTCCTTTTTGTCCCCTTTTGTTCCTTTTTTCCCCTTTGCCTTTCCCTCCGGGGGGTGTTTGGATTCCCTTTTGGTGTGTACATAGCATCTTAACTGTATATAACTGTAATATACATAAAATATATATTTTTATATAACTAACTTGATTTTGGGTTCTTCAATTTGCATAGTTTTTTTCCTTTGCCCTGGGGGAAGAAGGGAGGGGGAAGGGGGGGCTACTACTGTGAGTTTCGGTCATTTGGCAAGGAGCCAGGTCCTAACCATCACATATGGTTAAAAAGTAATTGTAAATGGTTCCCGGAACAAGGTTCATTTAATAGTAAAATATGGGAATGTGTTGGTGAATATTTACCAGCTATGAAACAAATAGGACTTGACGTTGCAGATGAATTGTTAGTGACTTGGAGATTTATTTTTACAGATTTGTCTCAGTTGCAACCTGCAGAAAGAGTTCTTGAAAAACAGGGTGAAGAGGGGAATGATAGGGAACATGTTTGTGATTTGTCTGGAGAGAAAAACGTTAAAGACAATGGTCCTGATGTAAATCCTTTTGATCCAGGACTCGTAAATCCTGGTATGGGACCTGATTTATGCCCTCCCCTTATGCCTATGCAGACATTTTTAGCGGATAATGAGAAATCCAAGAATCTGTATTCTGTGCCCCCTACGGCACCCCCTCTTATTGACTTTGTGAATAAGCGGGTTAATGATGCTGATGAACATATTCGTCACATGGCAAAAACAGTTATGCAATTCTGTACGGAGGAAGCATAAAGCAAGGGGATTTTTCTTTCACTTTCCCTGCAGTTTACTATCCAAATCAACACATGAGGTGGTTCCGTATCCAATTTTCAAGAAATTGAAAAAATCTGTAATGGAAAATGGCATTCAAAGTCCTTTCACACTGGGACTGGTAGAAATGATTGCTTCTAGTAATTCTGTGATGCATTGGGATTGGAAAACTCTCATGAGAACAATACTGACTACGGCACAATTTTCAGCGTGGCAATTAGAATATCATGACTTGGTGGTTTTACAGGTTTTAGATAATATTCGTAATGGAGTGTCTGTAGACGAAAACATGTTATCGGGGACAGGACCATATGTCTCTCCTCAAGTACAGGTGCACTTAAATGGCAGAGTTTTTGAACAGGCAGTGCAGATGGCTGTGACAGCCTGGAGACAAGTTCCAGAGGCAGGCAAGACAACAACATCGTTTGCTACTGTTATACAGGGGCCACAATAATCTTATGTGTTCTTCGTAGATTGGCTACAGCATGCTATCGCATGTCAGATAGATAACCCGGAGGCAAGCCAGTTTTGCTTTTTCAACTAGCATATGAAAATGCAAATGCTGATTGTAAGGCTACTTTGGCTCCAATTAGAGACAAAGTTTCTGACATTGGGGAGTATATAAAAACGTGTGAGAATCTTGACACTGAATCACATAGGGTGGATGTTTTGGCCGCAGAACTGTCTAATCTCAATGTCAAAAACACTTCAATAAAATGTTTTAATTGCGGTCGGGAAGGTCATATCAGTGAAATCTGTCCTAGGAAACTAAAAAAACAGACTAAGAAGCAGTCTAGTAAATTATGTCCTAGGTGTTTAAAAGGCTATAATTGGGGGAATCAGCGTAAATCTCAATTCAACAGGGATGGCAGACTGATATTGGGAAACTTCAAGGGGGGCATGAGGCCTGGTGCCCCTCGATACAACAGGACCTAAAGTGCAAATGCTCAGTCTATGACCTCACCCCCTCAACAGCAGGGAGTGCCAGGTTGGACTTGGCAACCACAACAGAATTAATACTGACAGAACCTAAAGTATATGCAATAAACACATCAGTTTGGGGGCCTTTACCAGAATGATTGATGGGGTTAATAATTGGGAGATCTAGTTCAACTGTGCAAGGAATAATGGCATTGCCTGGAATTGTTGACTCCGATTACACGGGACAAGTAATGGTTACAACTACAAAAGTCCCGTGCAAAATTGCAGTTGCACAGAGAATTGCTCAATTGATACTTGTGCCATACTGGGTTCCCGCTATTTCTACATGAGAAAGGGGGGTACCAGGTTTACTTCAACCACGAACATCGCCCTTCATTAAATAGCATTACAAATATATTGATTGACATACTCTTAACAGCGTAGCAGTAGTGACACAAGCTTTTCATGCTATATGATATTGAGTTAGCTCTTTTCAAAGTGTTTTTTGTTGTTTGGGGGGGGGGGTGCTTTTTTTTAAGTTTTGTGGGGTTTTGTTTGTTTGGGGTTTTTTTTGAGCATGTCCCCACAGTATTCATAGAATCATAGAATAGATTGGGTTGGAAAAGACCTCCAAGATCATCGAGTCCAACCCCTGATCCAACTCCAATTACTATATCATGGCACTAAGGGCCACGTCCAATCTCTGTTTAAAAACCTCCAGGGATGGTGAATCCACCACCTCTCTGGGCAGGCCGTTCCAATGCCTGATTACCCTCTCTGTAAAGAATTTCTTCCTAACATCTAACCTAAACCTCCCCTGGCAGAGCTTGAGCCCATGTCCCCTTGTCCTATTGTTGGTTGCCTGGGAGAAGAGAACAACCCCCACCTGGTTATAACCTCCCTTCAGGTAGTTGAAGAGAGTGATGAGGTCACCTCTAAGCCTTCTCTTCTCTAGACTAAACAATCCCAGCTCCCTCAGACTCTCCTCATAGGACTTGTGCTCAGGTCCCTTCACCAGCCTTGTTGCTCTTCTCTGGACCCGCTCCAGCACCTCAATATCCTTCCTGAACTGAAGGGCCCAGAGCTGAACACAATACTCAAGGTGTGGCCTCACCAACGCAGAGTACAGGGGAAGGATTACTTCCCTGGTCCTGCTGGCCACACTGTTCTTGATGCAGGCCAGGATGCCATTGGCCTTCT